TTACTGAAGTTGGGCTAGCTGGTATATAATGATGTGCTACATGGTGGCTAGCGACACAGCTATGGTTAGCATAATATAAACACAGGAGGATGAACGCTAACTATTTCCCACTTGATAAAAGCTAATGTGAGGGTTCCCGATGGTTAAGGACAAATGCAATCACATGCCAGGATGCTGTAAACGGAGCAAACTTCAATCAGGAGAACAACTGAGATAATCCATCCACAATAAAGGTTAGTCATTGATATACTGCTGCATGGGCTGGGCTGTAGTTAGACCGTAAGGTTTTAAAAACTGAGCTTTAAAATGAATAGTGGTACCAAAAACCGAGAGGCTGACAGTGATCACTGCTCTTTGTTAGGGGGTGTTCAGATTAAATAGAACAAGATACAAAGCATTAAAACATGTAAAACACAACAGCCTTAATAAACGCAGAGTAGTTTGGTCCCGGAAGCAGGGTTCATACGTCATCACTTAAAGACCAGATATTAACACGCATTAGTTCTTTTTAGCACACAATGTAAGTATGCAACTGAATGCTATTTACTATTACACAAACATTGGGAGGTTAAAAAAAAGTAATACTAAAAACTTTGACCTAGTGTTCTAGCATAAAGTTCTGTGTCAACACTTGCTTATCGTCTTTCAACAAAACAATATTTGACTATGCAGTCAAATGAAAACACTTCTGAAAGCTTGTTTTAGTTCAAGATACCACGACAGTGAAGACTGAAACACTCGAGTCTTCAAAATGGGTTTACAGAAATCAGAGGGTAATGTCACATCTTACAGTCTTGCCTCATTTCTTTATATTTTGCTTCCAAGCAGCCAGACTTCCCTGTAATTTTGTACGACTTTGTTGAGCAGTAGTTCTCCAGGCTTTCAGAAAGTTTGCTTAAGTTTTTAAGTGGACATGTGGCTGCTTTTTCTCAGATTTTCTCTCCAAAATAACAATTTGTTCCCATTCGTATAGTTAAATCCATGAAAAATCTCAAGGATAACAAGACAGGCATAAAACTTTATTTTTGCACCAAAAGGGAATTCCCAAAGAGATATTAGCTGCAAACTTGACAAATCTCAGCATGGTGTGCAGTGTGTCCTTAAAAAAAGACAAAACTGAACAAGCGGAGGAGAAAAGAGGAAGAAGATAACCTAAAAACCCATCTACAGCAGATGATCAGTATCTGAAAGTGATGTCTGTGAGAAATGGAAAAAAGCAAAGACTTGACACGGACCTCTGGTATACAGCAGATTGAATATTCATTGTTGAGATTTATTCATGCTG